TTTGAAAAACATGGCACAGGACCTGGTGAAAATGTGATGTATTTTTAAAGCTGATTAAAGCTATTAAATAGATTTGCACTCATAGAGCCTCATGGAAAGAAATTTTATTTGTGCTTTCTTGTGTAAGAATAGCAGAGTGGGATAAAACATGGCTTCTAAAGGCCTCATTGCTATTGTCTTTGAAATAGCAAGAAATCATTGCAACAAATGAGCTAATTAAAGAAAAATTTTAGTGAATCATGGAATCATAGGATCATTTGGGTTGGAAAAGGCCTCTAGGATCAATTCCAACCATTAGCCTAACACTGCCAAGTCTACCACCCAATGGTGTCCCTAAGAGCCACATACACCTGTACTTTATACACCTCCAGGGATGGTGACTCAATCACTTCCTTGGGCAGCATGTTCCAATGCTTGACAACCCTTTCAGTGAGGATTTATTTTTTTTCCTAACATCCAATCTAAACCTCCTCTAGTGCATGCAACTTGAGCTAGTTTCCTTTTGTCCTATTGCTTGTCACTTGTGAGAAGTGACAGCCCCCACCTGGCTGCAACCTCCTTTCAGGTACTTGTGGAGAGTGATAAGGTGTCCCTTGAGCCTCCTTTCCTCCAGACAAAGCAACCCCAGCTCCCTCAGCTGCTCCTCACCTTTACTTACTGAAGTAAATAAAGAATGCCAGCAGAAAAATTGTTTGCTTTTCTTTCCCTAGATTAAGAGATGGTACCTAGAAGTTCTTGAAAAGTTTATTTAAATAAGTCACTATTGCTGAAGAATGAAGAATTATTTTAATTAAGAACATGTTTAGGATAATAAAAGATGTTTTCAGTGGGATGGTAATATGCTTTTTATAGAGACCACCATACACATATGCAATAGCATTGAAGCCCCAGAATAAAGCCTCAATCTGACTAGATAAAAAAAATTCAACTTGTCCCACTTCAGAAAATAGCATCCCAGACACTTCTAAGGAGCCATTCCTCTTCTGCTCTGCATTGCTCTATTCTTTCCATCGCCCTGTTCTCGGTTCCTCAGGTTCCTCAGATTTATTTCTGCTGAACCTGCCCCTTGAATGCCTCTGCTCCTGCCATCTCACGAACACATTTGCCAAACTGACATCTGTTAAAGTAGCTGTCACAATATTAAGAAAGAAGCTCATTTCAGCCTCTTGTCTCTGCCATGTATTGTGGGTCCAAAACAGGCCTGCATGGCTTGTGTGCAGCCCAGCCTACCCCTGCTGCTACTGTGGGATCACCTAACAAATGTTTTGTGCAAGGCTTTGGCAAAATGGCAGGGAGGGAGCCCGAAAAGGAACAGCCAGTCTCATTTGCAAGTAGATAATGAATTAAAGCCTTGTTTTCCGTTCAGTTATAATCAATTAGGTGTTGGACACTCTTAGCAACTTGTGTATGTGATACCCAGGCACTGCGAAGACCCCACCAGATCAACACTGATTCAAGGTTTGAAATAATGCCACAACATCCCAAGCAAGGCAGACTGACAATCAATTTTGGGGCTCAAAAGATGAACTGAACATCAGGTATGGGAACACTTGTATCTTGAAAATGCATAGTTTTAATTAACAGGGGTTTTTTCATAATTTCTTGAACTTTTGGATCTCTGTAGTATGTGTGCTTTTGCTTGGCAAGTATCCTGCTTGGGCTGTAATGCTCACTACAATACAATCATTTATCTATTCTTAAATTTCTCAATTGCTTCTGATTTTCATGCTAAACACAGTTCTTCATTTGGAGATGAAAAGGGAGGAAGAGAAACTTTTGCAATTTAACTTAATTTGTCCACGTGCTTAATTTTCCCTAATTTTAGATCTGTTCCCACTTACTGCTGTTACCCTCCAAAAGGGGCTTATGCCCAGTAAGGCATCATTTCAAAGGAGAACACCAAAACTTCCACTGGCAATAAAGTATCTGATAAAAATAATTATGAGGAAGGAGAGAGCTCCTATGAAAACTACAAAACTTTCTATAATTTTTCCAAAGTAATGTACTTTGTTTTCAGCCAAGAATATCTCAGCTATTGCAGTTGAGAACCAGAAGGCCACACTGAAAATTTCCAGTTAAAACTGTGATTTTTTTTTAGAAAGCTTGCAACAGAAAAAACTCATATATATTCAACTAAATATATATAAATATATTTAAATATATATGTGAATATATAATATTCAACTAAAAGAAAAGAAAAATTAAAAAGAGAGCCAGCCAGCTTTGATGGAAAATATTCATAAATCCTACCAAGGATTTAATTCTTTCAAAAGAACTGTGGTCTAGTAGCCTGTCTTCCATTTGTTTAGTTTGTCAGCTTCTTCTGACACCATTGATCCTGCAATTTTTTTCTCTTATTTGCTTTAATTCATTCCTTGGGGTTAGCAAAAGACTTCGCTCAGCTTGTTTCCACTTCCAGAGGGTTTCCACCAGAGGTGCTGAGGACCCTTCTTCCTACTCTCCCTCCCCCTCTCCCCTGTGGAAGTTGTCACTCCCCTTTACTGCACCGCAGATTCAGGGTCTGTCTCTCTCTCTCTCCAGGCCTGTCTGCAGTGAAGCCGCTGTCCCTTCCTCCACCCTGCCTCATATGTGTTCCTGTAGAAGTGCTGCCACCTCTGTGATTGCTCCGTGGACCTCACAGCTGAGCACCTCTCAGCAGAATGAAATTGACATTAGTGCTGGGAGGGCTGGCTTGTTCCCTCTTTAGCCAAGCTTTGCTCCCAATTATTAAAGCCTTTGTCGGGGAGGCTTTGATGCTAGGAATTAACTTGAAAGGAATTTGATAACCAAGAGCCATATTCATGATGCAGAGACCTCCAGTGAAGGGCTCTCCCCCCCTCCCCAGCATCTCCTGAATTTTGAGTAGATTCCCTAGTTGTCATGGCAACAGCCTAATTTGCTCTCTTTTTGTGGTTTAAGTAAGTATCATGTAAAAGCTCCTCAACAAATGATGCTAAAACATCCTGAGCTTTGGTAGTGACACTGGGCAACTTGCCACATGGCTTAGTTTAATTGCTCTGAAGCTACCACCAAGTGCATAATTCAGGGTTTCCTTTAACATAGGAAAAAAGTTTGGATGGCTGCAAGGGAAAGATGAGGAGGAAAAGAGCAGCTGCCATTCTTCAGAAGTGAAGCAACTTCAGGAGCAAGAGGGCAGTTTTGTCCCTTTTTGTGGCAAAGAAGCCCATAACAGAGAAAGACAAAAGCTTAGTTGAGACTGTTACTTTTCCACTCTTTAGAACAATTTGAACTTGGTGAGGAGAGCAAAAGCATCCTCTGATCCGCTACTCTATTGTCCCAGGGAAGGCAGCATGGCTCAATCCTACTTTGGGACTGAAGTGGAGGTAGATAGCCCAGCAGTTTAGGAGGTGGCAACCCCCATGCATTGTCCCAGCTTCCTGCTAGTCTTTCAATGTGAAGGCAGTGCCTAAGGAAAGGCAGTGTCTTTAGGAAAATTTCTGGTCTGTCACCAGTATCTGGTTTTGTATCTTTGCTGGTACTTGGGCTTGACTTCACCCTGGTGTCCCTCTTGCCTCTGGAGGCAGAGCTGAGGCTACCCAGCCCGCCAGGCCTGGGAGAGGAGCCAAACCAAGAGCTGGTGTAGGAGATGCTTGAGTTGCTTTGGGCTCTAGTGCAAATTTGAACCTCTCATCATTGTGGTAGTAGATATATAGACTCTACAGAGTAAATATTAGCACATGGAAAGCAGAGTGTAAAGGGTGTTCTTGGACTCTAAGGGAAGAAGAATGGTAACTTCATCCTGCCTGTTTATTTTTCAGTTATGGTGGAATGACACATCTGTTTGTTAATGGTGTGCACATGAGCATGTATTAGCAGTAGCTTTCAATACTGCTGTGAATGGTCATTAAAAATCCCTGTTGGCTGCTTGGTCTGTTCTGAGGATACCAAAGGATTGTCCTGCTGAGCTCCTCCACTTCCACCATTCCTCCTGTAACAATAAAACTCTTTAGGCAATCAGAGTGGTCTGAGGCTTGATTTAGATAGTGGTGACCCTGTTGAGGGTGTCTGCAATGGTCTGTAACTTTTCAAACAAAGCATCCCCTGAGGAAAAACAGCAGTATTAATTTTGGGATCAACTACTTCTTAGGAAATGCAAGTATAAGTAGTTGTCTCTAGAAATTTCTGGTCAGGAAAAAAAAAAAAAAAGTGACAAAACAGATCACTTTAATCATTTGGTTTGGGGGAAAACTGCCATTTTGTTGTGGTTTGGGTTTTTTTTGTTTTGTTTTGTTTTGTTTTTGTTTTTGTTTTTTTTTTTTTTATGTGGGGATCCAAACTCCCACAGCAGGCATGTGAAATCACAGTCCCTGGGCAGTGCATCTGTGAACCTTTCAGGAACCATGTACTTGCATCCTCTCGGTGTCTGAATTCATGGGATGAGAGCACCGTTGCTTTACAGGGGATATTGTGATACAAGGCAGACTCTCCCTTTTCCCTGTGATCTGCTTGTCTTGTCACTCCCTTCTCCAGAACAGTTTCATTCTTTTCTCAGGCACTGCATTCAGGGAAGAGGCAAAGTGTTTGATGTGCTGCGGTGTCGCTTTTCCTGGATAGAAATCTCTGCATCCACTGAGATGGTAATGACCATTCACAAGGGAAATACTGTATTGTGGGCTGAGGATGGAGGTGCAACAATAAAATGGGAATGCCATGGCTTAGAGGGAGGAAGACAAGAAGGCTGGAATGGGAAATACAAGTGGGTAATCTAAGGTCTCCTTTTCAGGAGTGACAGACAGATTGTGGTTTTTTTTTACCCATCTCTCTGATAAAAGCCTGACAGTGGGGGTAAAGTCTGTGACACCAGAGCCTGCACATCCTTGTTGTTTTACTAAATTATTCATTCCTGTTCCTGTGATAATATAGTTATAAGGAGGAGCCTAATTGAATTTACTGTCTGGCATTGGCCAATAGGGCGATAAGGATCCGGCAGAATGGGATGACGGTGAATCCTGCTGGTGTGCTGTGAATGTGAAGCAGGACGGACTGGCAGTTTGTGTGCAGGAGGGAAAAGCAATCGGTCCAGGGCCCCTGGATTAGCAGAATAAGGAAAGGAAAGGTAAGGGAGCGGGTGGGAACGGGATTTGCCTGAATCGTATACTGACCCTGTGCTGAAAGGCTGGTTTTGTTCACAGGAAAGCACTCTGCAGGCAATGTTTTCCTGCAGGGTTTGGAGGGAGCAGGAATGCATGTGGTGGCACTGGCTCAGTGCATGTAGCCTGTGCCTTTGTCTTTATACGTGCTGCAGGGCTCTATAACGCTGCGTGTTCACTGAGCGTATCTGTGCAGAGATTCCTGTGGTTTGTGTGGATCCAGCAGCAGTGCATGGAGCCTGTGCAGTGTAAATGTAACGAGGGGAGTCCAAAGGGAGGAATTACCTCATGGGCAGAGTGGGGAAAACAGTAGTGCTTTCTGGTTTGATTGGAAATGAAAACACCGAGGCTCTTAGTGAGCTGTTGGCAAACAAAACAGAGCAAGTGTGTGTGCATCTGTCTGTGTATGTCCTGGATCTGCAGTGAGATGTTAAAATGAGAAAGAGGAGATCAGACTGGAGCATTAGGTGTTGCAGGTGGAGATACATTGCAGGCAATGTGTGTAATCAGATTCTCTAACATGGAGAATGCAAGTGAGTACGGAAGCGGATTAATCCTATCTGCTGAACTGGCTACACCTGGAAAGCAAGGGGGAGATGGGATGGGAATCAGGACAGGTAATGTGGCTGGTTAGGGAAACTGATGCTCAAACCATTCTGCTGGCTGTGCCTGCTGCTAAAGTGTTAGCTTATTGAGTTGCTTCCACAGATTTGTTATTTCCCTTTTAATGATGCAAATGTGAGCATCTCTGAGGATCAGGTTAGAGCCCATAAATTGACATCATCTGGAAGAACAGGACTACATCAAGCAAATTAGCCTCTGCCCTTCCTTTTGTTTCACTGCCTTTGCTCTGATAACAAGTGACTGCTGAACAGACAGGGCAGGTGGGGGAAGATGGATTACAAACGTGGCAAGTGGCATTAAGACATGCAGACAGCGAGTGTCATTTGCAGTGATGATGTTATAATCACACTTATTCAGCTTACATCTTTGCAAGTGTGCAAGACAAGGCTGTCCTGAATTTGGGGTAAGCTTATTATGGTCACTAACTGGAGCAGAGGTCACAGCTCACTGTAAGGTACTAAAATTTTTAGCTGCTTCTCATAGGGGTTCACCACCCCATTTTTTTCAAGTTGGGATCCAGAGGAAAGTGTTGCTGAGACTAAGATGTTGCTCACCTGTGGATATCTCATCTCTGTTGGAAACTCATTCTTATGATGAGTGTGGAGGGAGATATGCTTTTTCTGCTTGCTCAGAAAGCAGCAGCCACAGCCTGCCTCCAATAAGAGAAGCAAGGCAAAAAAAACCCCATAGGGAGAAGCTACAAAATGGCTTATCTTGGATTAGCCAAACCCTTTCGCCCAAATAGGTTCTCCTTCCTCCCTGACACCAAATTTCTTACATCAGGGGTCAGCTTTCCTCTACCCAAGCTTTTTTCTTTTCTGTGGTTTTCTCACATGGCCTGAAGGTTTAGAAAATGACTGATATTCCTATCAGAGAGCACCTCCCTGTTCGTGTCTACACTCTGCCATGACATCTCCTGGATTCTGGGCTGACCCCCTCTGTCTCACAGCTTGTGCATGCACCCCAAGCGGGGCCAAAGGGATACTCACTTGGTAAAAGTATGAAAAGGTTCCACCTTGCAGAGGATATTTGTATTGGGTGATGAAAAAAGGAAACATTGCATATTCCTGTAGGATAGAGGCAGGCTCTCCTCATCTCACCTAGAACAGCTGACTAAAAAAATGGATCTAACACAGGACATATGGTCACAGTTGTGTTTGACTCCAGCTTTCAAAGCACTCACAGTAAGAGAGTCAGTGAAGAAATGAAAAAAAAAAAAACCCTGGCCATCTGAGAATAAACTCCGCAGTATTATCAAATTCTTTCCCTTTGCCCCAGAAACAGAGGAATAGTCGAAAAACTTGCTTATTCACACACTACAAAAAACTGCACAGCTCCCAGGTGCAGAGCAGGAGGTTCTCCTTGCTAAAGAGTGGACAGATACTCATTGCTTCTGGAGAGTCCCTCTCTCTGCACATCAGAGGAAGTCCTCTGCTCTTGCTGGTTTTGGGAAGTTCACCTTCTCTGGGAGATTCCCACAGGGATTTGGCAGGAGAAGCATCCCTGTGACGCTGCAGCAGCAGCAGCCCAGTGCTGGCTTGCAGCAGTTACTGCTGGTTGGGTGCCTGCATTGTTTGCTTCTGCCCTCAGAGTCAACAGGGAGGCTCAGGAACAGGCAAAATGCCAGCGTATTCCCAGGGAAGCTGACGTCATCGCCAATTCACTGGTGCCAGACACTGTGCTGGAAACCTGAGGTTGCTTTTCTGCCATTAATTGCTCAGATGATTAATTCATGCAATGATATCATTTTCTTGGGTGGAGGTTAGGAGGTTATGTACTCTAGTAACGAGAGGCGTGACGGGATGCGGAACTCGTGCTCCTTGTTGGTGTTAACACTAATTAGAACAAACCAGCCACTGCGTGCTCCACATCATCTTGCCTCCCCCAGAAAGGATACCACTTTTTTCTTGGGTCCTTTAGGGGGGATGAGGGGGTGGTGCCATGGGATGTGTGAGCAAGTGTTCTCATGGGATTTGCAGTATTGCAAATTCTACACCAGAGGACTGAACCCATAATGCCCCTTAACTTTCACAGCTACTCTGCAACAAGGATTTTTGCTCTAATTATTTTCACGTTGACTACTTTATTTATGCCATTTATGTGGCACTTTCCAACAAGAAAAAAGAGTATTATCCTCATTGCAAAGACAAAAGGAAAAGAAAGAAAAATAATTGAGTTTGTTTCTTATTGCACAGTGGCTGGTGTGTTGCATTGTGGTGTTCTCCTCTCAGAGGGTCCTGCTCAGTCTGTAGGGGTGTAGGATCAATTTTTAGTTGCTCTGGAAATTCCCCAGAATGTCAAGTTTTGCAGTAAATTCTCTAGGATATTTAATTCTTTTGGGATGTTTTTAGGCTAAAAATCCCATTCCTCTCTCTTTACTAGATAAGCAAATAAGTCTAGAATTCCCAAGTGGGCACTACAAAGAGCTGTCCTGGCCCACACACAATTAACAGCTGATAAAGTTGCAGCAACTTGATCTGTCAATCTGTTGGTAGGCAAAACATCTTACTTGAAATGTCAGGCAAACCACCCAGGGCATTTTCAAAGCTGTTGTAAGAGCATTTTTTGTCAAACGACATCACTGCTCTGCCACATGGACCCCTCCCTCTCGCTCACTCCAGTGCTGTTCTTCTCACTTCAGGCCTTTGTGGTTTTGGCTGATTTGCATCCCCAGAGGTGTACAAAGCCCCGGATCATAAGTTTTCAAACAAACTTGGTAAGACCAAATGGAAACCTTCCAATTTCTAGATTGGCCTTTTATTTATGGGATAAAATGGTTTCCTTTTTGTTTAAGCAGTGGGGAAGCCATACTCTCTCTCCATTCTGGAAAATTCTTCACTTTTCCCATCCTTTGTGATTTGTTGTGGTATTCTCCTACCTCATCTAGAGATTTGAAAATGTCAAGGAGCTTTTTTAAATGCCGACAAATAACAGAGATTTGATTAGCAACTGTAGCAGATCACTTACCAGTCCAGTACTGTGGGCTCATATATATTTATAATACAGTTATCAAGGAAAATGAAGTGATTATCCAGAACGAACAATGTCTGTATTAATGGCTATCAGCTGCCAGATGTTCATCTCTTGTCTGTTTAATGAGGAATAATTCTGCTGTGTCTGGGCAGATCAAATGCTAAAGCAAGGGTGCAGTTTGGCTCTGCTGCCCTTAGCAGATTACACTGGCCACAAGAAAGGTGGCCCAGGGCACATGCTTGTAATTTAGACCCCGCTCATAAAAGTGAGAAAAACTAATGACACAGCCTTGGAAAAGTAGGAGGAAGAGTCTGTGGTGGGGCCTTTGGTGGGGAATAATCTTTTCTCCTGGTGGCAGTAGTGCTGAATTCTGTAATGCCATCAGAGCGACAGGAAGGGGAAGAAAAGGTTGTCTGCTTCCCAGGATGGTCTGTGGGGGACTGGCATGGGGAGAGGGGAGAAAAAATTATTTGGATGGAGTAAGAAAGACCCTTTTTCTAGGTTTCCTGAAACTAGGAGTATCGCCTTCATATCACTTTGAGAGAGTAACTACAGTCATTTTTCAAAGCACATTAAATTTTGCTCTGAACTCTCAGACTGGGATATGAACAAGAAAGAGAGCTGCTGTATTTTATCATACTCCAGCCTGAAGAAGGCAAACAGCATTTTATTCCTGTGTGTCTGAAAAATAAATCAGAATCCGTGTTAAAAGAAGGAGAAAGGTAGGACAAAGGTAGGACTGAAGAGCCATGTGAAAAGCTGGACGAAGTAACAGAGAGGGGTGCGCCTTTTTTTAGAAGAAGGAAATTTTGGTTTCTGCCAAGCTTTATGGGTTTTGGCTGATTTATTTCCCGCTCTCAGCATGATCCAGAGCCAGCACTCCTTCCCTGTATTCTTCAGCTGGGGGGAAAAAAAAAAAAAAGCATTGGCTTCCTTCTTTCTTCTCATACACAGGAGCAAACATACACATACCAACTCCTTTTAAAAGATGGCAAACAGTGTCTTCAGCCAGAACTTCATGGTTTGAAATAGCTATTTGCTGAGCTCCCTTGAGTTTAAAAAGTGTGCTACCTTGAGCCCTATGTTTTAATTTTCAATTTAATGTTACATTTAGTTGACAATGTTACATTTAGTTGACAAGAAGGAAATAGTATTTTAGCTTGCTGATTCTAGACCTTTCAAACCACAAAGCCATTTAAGAAAAGATACTAATTGGCCAGTTGTTCATAAAAGCCACAGCTAAAGCCACTCAGATTACTTGGAGTCAAATAAGGAGTTTACTGACTCCCATCCAAGTGAATGGAGAAAGTTCCACTCCTCTGCAACTCAGGACTTCCAAGCCTGCTAGAAAAAACCAGCCAGAAATGCT